CACAGGAAAATGTCAAAACAGCAAGCTTTATTAAATACATGAACCAGTAACAAGGGAGTAGAGGCAGGGGTAGGGAAAGCCATCTCAAGGGAAGCGATCGGACAGGAAATGGTGTCCCCTCCCTCGTGCCTGATGTCACATTCAGACCAAAGCACACTACTTCTCACTGCCCATTGAAGGCTCTTTTGATATATACTGCAGACTTTCAGTAATTTCTTATTTTTAATGTTATAAACTGGAAATATGGTAAAAAAATAGAGCTGGGTTAGAGTGAACCTGGTAAACTGATGATAATCTAATACCCCCTGTACCATATAAGGTAATTAGTAATGAGATTCATCCCATCACCAAGAGTAATTTGGCTTTTAACACTGTTGGTTTGCGCAGTAATATGTTTTCTTCAGAGTACAGCTATGGAGAATACTTTTCAAAGAACATTTCACCCATATTTGGTTCCATCACTCCTCTTGTTTTATTGAGCTTTGTGCTATTCAGCATTTTTAAATCTGCCTGTTGGTTAGGTTAAGTATCTATGTGCCACAACACTGAATCTAAACCTGAATCCTTCAGACCATGAATCCAGGTGCTAAATTGTTGCTTCATGTGGCCACTACCTGAAAGATCACTGATGACACTTCTGCAATAGCCATATCCCATGTGGTCCTTAGCAAGTCTCCGGTCCTTCAGACCAGCTGTGCAGGTTTCTTGCTCTTAAACATTGACTTCCTTTCCCGTTAAACTGCAATCGACCCAAAATTTCATGATTCTCATTCTTCATGATTCTCTCACGTTTTGATTTGATTGACTTTGATTCCTTAAAAGATGTTTCTCAGATATCTCCTTCTATTTTCAGAGGTTCTTTCAGTGGTCACTAAAGTTTTCCATGACCACATGCCAAGATAAACATGTAACCTTTTCCTGAAAGTCGTTATGATCTTAACAGCACTACTCTCACTCAAGGGTTTGTTAAGAGCTGCTCAAAAACTGGAATTGGTACTTGACATATAGAGGATGGGTGGTGGACAAAGGGATGTTCTGACCTCACAAGTGACAAGATGTTCCAGACCACTTTTAATTTTTTTTTATTTTAATCTCACAGTGCTAAACTGAATACAGCTTCATACATACTATATGTACATCATGCATTTTTAAATACAGGCAGTCCCTAGGTAAGAACGTCTGACTTATGGACAACTCGTACATATGAACAGAGTGCCATAAAGCCTATTATATTAAAATTCAGGTTACATATAATGGTTCATAATAATGAACGTGCACACTACTTTGTGATGCTCATGAAAACATTGGACATCAGTGGTTGGTCGGCTCGAGGTACAGTACAGTACCACGTGTAGTTACTTTTATTATTACTGTATAATAATATTACTGTGTTATTATTATCCCGACTTATGGGAGTATCTCGTTCGTAACCTGGCAACTGCCTTTACCATTGCAAGGCTCCCGTCCCCTAAGCACGGTCCCTTCCTCCTTCTTAGCCTGTCTTTCAATCTGACGCAATGAAGATTTTTCTGCACTCGGTACACTGGGCAGCACCTTTCAGTCATCCTAGTCTCAGGCCACTGATACGCAACAGCTATAAACAAAGCTTTTTCAGAGGTAGACAGTTCAGGTCCAGAAAGTAAAAGGGTAACACTTTACTTGAGGGGGCATGAGTAACGTAGTAGTACATGCTTAATTAAGGCATTAATTAACCAGTAACTAAGTGTTTGTTAAGTACTGATCCCATGTTCATTCATCATTAATCAACCATGGCAGCTCATGTATTTCATGGGGAAACCTATATTAGTTCATAACTTGTTCTTGAGCAGTAAATGAATTAAGAAACTTTTGTCCCCTCAAGTGGTCTTACCATTATTAACTAATTAGTTAACTGTTGGTGCCTGAATGGAATACATGAACTGTCATGATTGATAAATGATAAATAAAGCATGGGATCAGTACTTAACTAATACTTACTGGTTAGTGGTTAATTAATGCATTAAGTAAACATATACTACTACATATTGACATGTGTGATTCAATGTTCTCTGATCATATGGCTGTTTCATTTGAGATTTCTCCGCCCTGTTATATCACTAAGCCGAGCGTTCCAGTACATCGCCGTTGGATGATTAGTTCCTCCACCGCTGCATACTTTTCTGTCGCTTTTAAAAATACTGAGTTGCTTTTGAACCCCCCAAAATATATTGGACACTGTTACTCCCTTTAAAACCCTGTGTCTTAAACCTAAACTGAACCCTGGCTGAATGACACCACTCAGAATGCAAGAGGGCTGAGCCAAAGTGGATAGAAAAATAAGCTGCAAGTGTCTTGCGATATACTAAAGGAAAGCTGGGGCAGGTATCAGAAAACTGACAAAACTGAAAAGACTAGATATTTCTCTGACATTGTTTCAAAGAATTGTCATAAACCTGGTGTTCATTTTAGTACCATAAACACTGCGCTTCATCCCACACAAGCCCACTGTTTAGAGGCCTCCCATAACACATTTTAGAAGTTTCTGCAATTTTTTTGTGGGTAAGATTGCTAACATTAGAGCACTTACTCCCTTCCTATGACCCATCAACCGCTGTTTCCCGCTCAGCCCTTTAGCCGGTTTGAACCGGTGTCTCTTCCTCTTCCTGAGGAAATCATTCCGCATATGAAATTATCAGCCGGCGCCATAGATGCTGTTCAACCTTGCCAACTTATAGAGACTTTTGAGACTATTGGACCAAGCATCCAAGCAGTTATGAATAGTAGTCTGGCTGCAGGTTTTGTTCCAGAGCAATTTAAACATGCTACTGTGCAACCTTTGATTAAAAAAATCTGACTCAAATTTCAGACCAATTTCCAAGCTCCTAATTCTGTCCAAATTTCTAGAAAAACTTGTTCTTTTACAATTGCAATCTTATCTGGACAGGCACAGTATTCTTGAACATTTTCACTGATTGTGGTGATCATGCTATCTTGATTCTTTTAGATCTGACTGCAGCATTTGATACAGCTGATCACAACATACTCATCTGCTGTCTGAAGCATATTGTGGGCATTAAAGGCATCACATTGGAGTGGTTTAAATTTTACATGCCTGACAGAATTGTTTCTGTCAGCGTAGGTGACACTGTGGAGTCCCCCAAGGATCTATCCTGGGACATATCCTTTTTTCTCTGTACATGCTTCCCCTAGGACCCTATTGTAAGAAAACATGGCATTTCTTTTCATTGTTATGCAGACAACACCTAAGTCTACTCAGCTTTGAAATGGAAAGACACCAACTTTTTAAAACCATTGCTGGACTGTCTGGAGGACAACAAAGTTTAAATTCTTTAAACTTCAATGAGAGTAAAACCGAGGTCCTCGGAACCTTTTATTAAGTCCTCCGCAAAGAATTTGGGCGTGTTTATGGATACCAATTTTAAAATAGGCAAACAGATCAGCTCAGTGATAAAGTCGAGCTTCTTTCAATTAAGACTTTAATCCAAAGTCAAGCCCGTCTTATCAATTGGTGATTTTGCAAAAGCTATACACGCCTTTATTTTATCTTGGCTTGATTACTGTAACGCCCAGTATGCAGGGGTCAGCCAAGCTTCTCTCTCCCACCTGCAGCTGGTACAGAATGTTGCAGCACATCTCTTAACAGGCACTAAGAGGCATGCCCACATCAAACCAGTATTTGCATCCCTCCACTGGCTTCTGATACAGTTTTGGATAAAGTACAAGATTCTCCTGTTCACCTTTAAAGCTATTAGAGGACTTGCTCCTAGTTACCTTACTGACATGATTACTCCTTATACCCCAGCTAGCTCTGCTAACCTGTTTTTGTTGACCGCTAGAAAGTCTACGCTAAAACAGAGCGGGGGCCAGGTCTTTTATGTCCTGGCCCCTAAACTGTGGAGTGGCTTACCACTGAATGTTAGAAGGGCCCCTCGCTGCCTGTTTCTAAGTCTCTTCTAAAAACACACTTTTATTGCTTAGCTTTTAATTCAGTTTGAGAGTTGCTTGATTACCAATTGTCACTGTTTTTAAGTATCTTAGTGTTTTTGTTTATTCATTTCTTTTATTGTCTTTTAAATTGCTGTTGCTACATTGTTTTGCCATTTCATGTTGTTTTTAATGGTATATTGTCTGTACAGCATTTTGGATTCAACTCCTGTTGTTTAAAAGTGCTCTATAAATAAATAAACATTAACAAACATAAGTAAAGTGTGACCAGTAAAAGTCCAGGCCAAGTTTTTTGTTTCAACCAACCAATTGAGCGTAAAGAGTCACATTGGTAGAGTACTCAACTGGTTGGTTGAAACAAAGTCTTGGTCTGGATTTTTACTTTCTGGAACTGAACTATCCACCTCCGCTCTTTTCCCCATTGATCTTCTTTGTTAGTTCTGTAGAACGGTTCTATCATTTATCTTCTCTCCAGTGTTTATAGATGCTGAGTACTGGCTGAAGCCATGCTGACATGTTGGCCTGGGTCCATCTCTATTCCCGTGCTCCTTCCCTGTAAATGGAGCGGCCTGCTTCTCATTAGAGTTAGTTGATTGACTCATAAACTTCAACCATCTGTATTCTAGTATCTACATCCCAAAGGAATGTGATGGACAAACAGCCAAGACGAAATGGCCAGATATTCCACACGAATGTGAGGCGAAACACTTGCTTGGAAATGCATATAAAAACGCTCTGGGAACAACTGCATTTTGTCTTTAACAGATTGCGCATTTTATTATAATTTGAAGTTCTTGTTTCTACAAAACTATTAGAAATTAAAGGGAAGGATTATTTTATTTGGCACACAGGTCAAGTCATACAAATTATTTTGACAATAAGCTTTATATATTGAAGCAAACAGAAAAAGAAAAACTGCTGATGTAGTTTCATGTGAAAAGCTCAGAATTAGTGAAGTTGAGGTTTGCAGATCCTGGGGTAATAGATCTGTTTAAAAGGCTTTGAAGTCCCCTGACCTGTCGATTGGGTGTCATGCTCACCTGAGATGTTTGGGCTGTCAGGGGCCGCAGGCAGGGCCCCTGATGGAGATGGGGAGGTGACAGGAGCCGGGGGGGTCTTGCTGGTCTCCTGGGGTCGGCTTTTAGACGTCTCTATGCCCTTGACTCGCCTCGCATGCCGGTTTCCCTTGTAATGGGCCTCTGCTTGGCTCTGTGAGTGAGGGGGAAAGGCTGATGCTTAGGGGTTTGGCTCAGCGTGTCGTGTGAGGTGTGGAAGGTGCTGTGACATTGATGATTACTGTCATGCTGACACACTGAACGCAACTGCATTGGCCATCCAAGCATTAACCGAATATGCCTGTGCAAAACTGGAACTGGATTCTCAGAGGATAGTTGCACTGCATAGTGAACAACCGTGTCAGACGGGGAACAGGTATCTTCTCTGGGTTGGATCGCAGTAGCAGCACTGTACCAGTGTAGTTAAAAAAGGAATCAAACGTAACACCAGTGTGGGTGTTGTGCAAGTGCTGTAAACAACAGGGTCTAGACCAGATAATTGGGGATGATATAAAACAGCAACCATTTATTGTGCAAGCAAACAAGGAACTTTTCAAGGAACTGATCACAATCCTGCCAGGATGCTCCCCGCCCCCCCCCAATCAGGAATATCGTACAGCCTCCAATCCCTGTACTATGCATTAAGACAGAGGGTATAGTTGGTATATTAATAGTACAGTATAATGATAACCAGCTGGCATGCCAGCAATGGGTGATGACTAACGCCAAAACAAATTAACTCAAAAATGCTTGTGTGCTGTACTCATTAAATGCACAGTCATCACTACTAAAGACAAGAACAGATACCGTGTTTTGTTTTGGCAGATGACTGTGGTACAAGCTCATTTTCTTGGCCTAAATGATCTTGGACAGGAGTGTCACTAGAGATTTATGAAAAGGGGCTTAAGGCTTTACTAGGGAGTGTGATTTTAATGACAGCGAATGAGAACACACTGTTTAAACTAATTAGTGTACATTTATTTTGGGGGTGGACCTAAAGAACGTTTTAGGGAGACTAACGCACCCCTAAAACGGCCCTAGTGATGCCTCTGATGACGGATACAAAAAGCAGCCATTGTGTTGGTTACGTGACAGAGGGTTGAGGGTCGGAGGGGCACTGGATACTGACATAGCTGTTTATTAGTAGAGGATCGCTCTTTAATTAAGGACCAGGGGGAAGAATGCAGTAGCTGAGATTATTCTATTTGAGCAGGTATTAAAACTGCTGTTTGTTGTAAATCAGCTAATGATAGGAAAATGACTAAATCAGAGCAGTATTCACACCTCAGCCCACTATCGTAGGACAATGAATGACCCTATAAGTGACCCCTGGCGTAGTGATATGCTGCAGAGGAGGACAAGACAGAAACTCTATACTCTCCAGCTGCCACGGTGCTTAATCTGAGGTTAGTCTACAAAGAATAAAACAAAAAGAAACACCGTTAAATGAGGCCCTTGGGATCCAAGTGTAAAATCTTTGCTTCCTGGCAGGGAGAGTAAGTACTGATCTGGTTTTGTCAAGTGTTATTTTAAAGTGCCACAACCTGCCTTTAAGAATAATCCATCAAACCATCAATCCATTCATAGAATTATATCAATGGGAAATGTTTTTATTATGCTGTGTTATTGATGTATTGTTGATTTTTACAGCATTTGGAACTGGGCTACATTTCGTTAATTTCATCTAAACCAAAATGTGAGTTTTCAAACATAATTAAGATGCAAAGCTTTCTAAGAGGGTTGACAAACCAATACCATACATTTGTTTTACAAAAAGATCCACATATATATAGAATATTCATTTATTGTCATAAATAATACAGGCATAATAATGTGCATCCACCCATGTGGTTACAGGGGACTGGAGTCTATCCAAGGCAGGAACCAACAGGACACATCTGTCACGTGATGACACAGGGAGAACATGCAAACTCCACACACATGGAGCCATGGTGGGGACTTAAGCCCAGTTCACAGAGGCATGAGACAAGAGCACTAACCACTGTGTCACCATGCCACCCTCAACACAGGAAGTGGCGAGACATGGGGCATCACAAGGCAAAGAAGCTGGAATAGTTGCCCGTACCCTCATGCCAGAAGCAGACGTCTCTGAGTTAAACTGGGTGGAAGAATGCTTAGTGCATCATTGCTGGCATGTGGCAGTGATTACAGATACTCTTTGGCTCTAGACAACCTGTGGGCATCCTACCCACTGCCCGCTGGGCCTGCACAGGAAAACATAGTGTGTGGGTCTTTGGGTTAAGCCTCAGTGCCTGTGATCTGAAGGTTACTGGTTCAAATTCTGTGGCTTGTAAAGTGATTGCACCACGGGGGCCTTGAGTAAACTCTGATTGCTCCAGGAACTGTCTGACCTTGCTTTCTTAATTGTATGTCATTTTGAATAAAAGAGTTTGCTAAATAATAATGGTAAACAGACACGCATGGGCACCTTTCAGATTACTGTGTATTAAAGGTGTTTATGTGTATGTGTTTGCATAGTACCTCTCTAGCTTTGGACAAACACATTCTTTACTTTAACCTAGACAGAAAGCATATGCTTGTCAAAGAATTTTGGCCTTTTCTCTTTGTGCTTTTGTTTTGCAGTTAAACACAGAAAAGCAGTGATCTTAACTGAGCTGCACTTTCTGAATGTTTTCTACACCCTGGACCCAGTGATTATTTTGGCTAAATCTAGAAGTACAAATCAGTCAGATAAAACTGGAGGAGATCCAGCATGTTTCAATGTCTGGCTGCAGCACATTGCAGACAGCCTCCTTGGATCAGTCCCCAGCAGCACACCAGGTGGAGTAACATGTTACCCTCTTTCACTCAGTCTTTCCCCCTCTTTGTCTATCTTTTATTCCCGACCTCCTCCTGACATGGAAGCTCTGCTCTGCTCTGCACATGACAAGGAAGAAAATTACAGCTTTGCATTGCATCAGCCACACCCAAGCCCAGATTTTAACTCAGGCTGGTAAAAATAGCAGCTGGACACTCCCAGGATTTTATAGGTTCTCTGGCGAGGCGACCTTTTGGGTCAGAGCCCAAGCTCACGCTGGATCGGAGCCCCTTAATCACAGATCCAGCACAGCATGGAGGGCGATGACTGTGTCATTCTATTTCTTAAATTTCTTATGTATCCCTCAACTTATATACAAGATACACATGTACAAAAGTCACTCTGTTCACCTCTGAGTTGAAGCGGATCTGGCAGACATTGCAGGAGATGACCGGTCGCTTGGCCTTCATCAATGGCACTCCAAAAGTGTGGCTCATTACAGCCTTCTGCACAGGGTCCATCTGAAGAGGAAGAAGAGGGAGGAAGAAGAGGGATACCAACTATTAGCCAATCAGCCATCGGCTGCTACCAGAAAGGAACTTGTCACCCAAACACATAGTGAGTGTTTAGCTCTCTGTCTAACGTGTGTTTGGATCAACTTCACTTCTCATCATACTGCACGGCTGCGGGTCTCATATTCTCAATGAAGAAAATGTAAATATTCCTATGGTGATATGTGCTTTGACCAGTTTCCTGGTCCCCATATGGAAAAACTCTATTTTATAAAAATACGTGATTGCAATGAAAAAACTAGAAATACGAAAACTCTTGTATTTTGCTTGGTTACTTATGGTTATGGTTAGGGCAGGGTAGGGGTTAAGGTTGTCATAGTTAACATTTGCATTTTTCCCATAGAAATGAACGAGCGGGCCCCATAAGGATATGATTACGTGTGTGTGTGTGTGTGTGTGTGTGTGTGTGTGCACAGAGCTTAGAGAAAGTCTTGGGACGCTTGCTGAATTCTGTATATATGTTGTACATTTTAGTTTCATAACACAAAACTGGTTTAATTGGTTTCATAACAATAGTCCATTGACAAGCAGTGTTTAACATATCTACACATATCATCTGCACATTTGCTTTATATTAAGTGTCATAATTTTGACTGACTCTGTTAATTGCAATTGTACTCCCAAAGGGAAACTAAACACAAATGTTTGTTTTTTTATGTTATTGCATTGGTGTTACTAATTAAAAAACATCCAATGAGACTGCTTGTCAATGATTTTTGTAATAAAACCAATAAATACCAATAAGACTTTCTGTAAGCACTGTATATATAATAATAATAATACTACAATAATTTAATACAGTAATATAACAATATAATAACAAGGGGTGGTGTGTGAATCGGTGGGTCACAAGTCTGTGCCCATGGTTAAAAATTCACCAGTTTGAATCCGGTGAGCGACACTGGTGTCGTTGCTGGGCCTGTAAGCAATAAGGCTCGTACAGCTATTGGCTTTACAGCCACTGGACACTAGTGGACTCTGTACAGTGACCCCAAAAATGTGCTTTTCCCGTGTCTGTGTGTCTCACGGAGAGCGAGATGGGATGAATAAATGACGTACAGCGATAACAAAAAGCATAACAATAATGGTAACGTTAGAAAACAGAAGGAAGAAGAAGTGATTACAATAGCCAAGAACCAGCCCCGTTTCTGATGGGCTGAAGGGGCCTGTGAAAGAGGGCAGAGGCCTAAAATGGCTATTTGTAAATCAAACTGAATGTGTCTGAAAATCAGCAAAGAGATGCTAAGCAGGCAGCCTCCCCTGCTGCTTGAGTAAAGGCACAAAGACCCCGTCGGGCTGACAGGGCGACAGCTCGCTTTGTTACAGGCATGAACCGTCTGCTTGGTAATGGCTCTGGCAGCAGGGTTTGTCTTTCATCTGCTCGCTCCTCACACTCCCTGCAGTCCTTTCCCCAAGTTAATGACAAATGAGCTTCATGCCACCAGGACTAAGCAAACAAGCAGGATCCAGCCAGTTGCCTAAAAACTTGTGACCACTGTAATTCGGGAGGCTCCATTTGCACGGAATTATTTGAAAGTCTTCAACTTTCTGAAGAGATACTGGATCGCTTTTATCTATTTATTTATTTTTAATTAAGGCTGCCGCTCTGCATTGAAGCCCAATCGTGTGGTGCTGACGAGCCTCGGAGAATGAGAGCGATCACGCAGCCCACACTTCTTCTTGCTCGGTTCAGTTCCAGAAGGCTGAACAGGCAAAAAGCCATTGTGATTACATGCTTTTTTGAGGCATAAACAACAGCTGTAATAACTGCCTCTTGCCAGAATCATAGAAAAACAAAAAACAAAGTGGAATTCAGCCCATGAACCACAACCCCAGCCCAAACTGTTTTTTTCATTCCAACAAAAGCCACACATTTCAAAATGACAGGAGCTTGTCCTTTCAAATTAGATTAAAAGTTCGGTAGTTGTAGCCTGACTGCAGAACCATGGACACAAGAGGTACAGTATATGATAATCAAAGCTGTTTGCAGGATCTAAACAAGCCATATTAGGTAATATGAGTACTTTACTTGAGTGGGCACAAGTATCTCAGTTATTCAAGTACAAATCATGAACAAATATAATAACTACATGAAATGCATGAACAGTTATGACTGATTAATGATGAACGAACATGGGGTCAGTACTTAACTAACACTTAGTATCTACAGTAGGTAATTAATACATTAAGTAAGAGTGTAGTAGTACATAGTGCTCCTAAAGTGTTACCCAAAATACTTTTCATGTACATATAAAAGACTAAATAAAAAGTTTAACTTATTAATGAATCTGAACATCTCATCATCCCCCTGCACCTTGTTCCCTAGTCTGCATTTCTGTCTCCTTCTAAAGTCCTACTCTGACAATCACTGAAGTGCCAAATCCAGGACAGAGAGGCGAATGAGGAGGAGACAAATGCTTCCCCCCCCCACCCAAAAATGCACCATGGGTGAAGCAGACCTAAAATCTTAATCACAGAAAAAAACGCATTTGATGTCACCTACTTAACTCTGAGGCTAGAAAACGTCTGAAGCCTTGTCATTGTCAGCAGTTCTGAGAATAACAGCACGGCGTGTAGCTCCAGGTGGAATGGCAGCTGACCATTTCCATTTCAGCTTCAAACAGCTTCAAACGCCGTATTGTTTTTGCTGCCATTGCCATCCACCTCATTGCATCTGTACTCACCCTTTTTCACTGCTGCCGGCTGCAGCTCTGAGCTGCCTCAGCCGTCGGTGTGTCTATGTCACCCTTTCCTCGTTGTGTATGAAAAACAGCGTGTTTATATCTCTCTCGGTATCTCCGACAACCCAGTCTTCAATTTCGTAGCGTCCTCTCAACTTGGCCACTATTTGGTCCCACATTTATGCATCCTCTTCTCCAAATACACCCACTTTCTGAGTATCCATCCTAGTCTCTAATTACCCTCTTTCAGTATGATGTGCGGTCAGTGTGACCAAAGCACATCTTTTCAGTCTCAGCAGTGAACTTTTCTCATTCACAATCTAAATAAAGAATATCTCGCGTGTCTTCTGATCCCTTCCTCAGTCTGATTAATGTTCCTCTTCAAGCAACTCTGTCTTCCCTCCTCTCTCACCAGCACACACTCAGTCACAAATACATCATCCAGCTGCTACAGGCTTATTGTGCAAATTTCACCCCTCTCTCCCCTGCTGTACTTGCCACACCCTCCCTGAGATCATTTTCTGTCCCTTGGTAAGTATAATAATGTGTGTATCTGCTGACCCTCCCTCCCCCCATCCCCTCTGCATCCCTAGCCAAGTGAAACATGGGCCAAATCTTTTAACAGGAAACGGGAAGGCAGACAGCACAGCGATTCAAGAAAATGTAACACATCAACATGACAAGAATTCCGATCGCTGTGCCTTTGAAGGGTTTGAGTAAAAGGTTAAAAATCAGACCCGAAACTGGAGAGAGGCAATGTGAGAAAATCCTGGCAGCTTACTCTGTGTAAATAAACACACCCTTCAGCTCTGTTAAAACATATTTTCATGAGGTGTTCTCTTTGAACTGTCTTGAAACACATCATAATAGGAAGAGACAATTAAAATAAACAGACGTAAATTTACATCAAACAATACTACATGAAGGCAGACAGAACTGTGTGATATTGAACCAAACTGGAGAAAAAAAGGCATCACCATTTGAACACTTACATTTTTTTAGTGTACACGTAATAGTGAAAAGTCACACTTGCTAGGAATTTGGTTTTATTCTCCACCATCCCTAACCCTAACCCTAACCCTAACCCTACTCTGAAGGAGACACCCATATTTTGATATTGTACCCCTGTGCATGTCTGTTTGGAACTGAGAATCGAAATTCCAAACAGGACGGGGGAGAAAGACAGAACAAAGTCTCTGTGGAACCTCTGAGACTCTTTCGACATGGAGAGCTTGAGGAGCAGAGTGTTGTTATGTGAGGCTTGTCTGAGGCTTTGGGCCTGTTGGTGATACAGTTACACTCACTTCCTCTGGGCCTGCAGCCTCATCATATCCTGCTCTCAAGAGACTAACAACAGTATTCTTAGCAAGCAAAGCTGCACGCCAGGGTATATCCAGGCAATCTAATACTGAAACATTATGATGTAGCAACCCCCAAGAATGATAATGAAATGAGAGCCCAGGACATTAGATCTGAGACTCATTAATATGCATGCCTACATGTCCTAACTTTCTGTCACTTATTTGATGTTCATGTGCCATCGCAGTAGCATTAGCATCAGACTTACAGGGTAGAGGTTTGTCCACACTGCCTGAATCAATGCATGCCATTGATCTCATTTTCCCATTGCTTCTCCTGATGAGGCTCATGGTGGCAGCAGGTCAAACCAGATGCAATTTTTCACTGCCACAGTCTCTAGCGTGATCCGGGGGATCCCTAGACATTCTCCAGCCATCTTGGAAATATAATCCCTCCATCCTGGCCTGGATCTTCCCTCCAGCCAGTGGGATGCAGCTAAAGCAGTTCTATTAGGACCCATCCAGCTAACATCCTTATAAGATGCCCAAACTTCCAACTGACTCCTCTCAACTCTTCTAAATTTGAGGTCCCTACAGAAGACCTGAAAACTGCACTCATCTAACAGGAGTAACTTGCTCTTTTTTTTTTTAGAATGCGGCAGAACATCAGCTTTGGAGGTGCAGATCCTCATCCCTGTCATTTCATCCTCGGCATCAAATAATTTGAGTACGTGCTATAGGGGTCCTGGTCAAATGAGGCCAAGAGCATTGTTTACAAATAGCAGGGGATGCCACTTCTACCCCCATACTGGTTACCTTTCCAGTCACAGCTGCACCTTGATATCCTGTCCATGAAAACTATGATCTGGAGTGGAAACCAGATCAGATTTGTGTTAGATGTGCAGACACAACATTTACTGCATTCATACAGGGACCAGGTAGCATGCAGAAGCTTCTCCAAAGAGAAATTCCTGCAGCACCTCCCCCAGCATGCACTGGGGCACATAGTCAGAGTATGGAATAGTCTTCCTGATAACGTAGTGCAAGCTGAATCCTTGGGTTCCTTTAAATCAGAGCTAGATAAGATTCTAACAACTCTGAGCTATTAGTTAAGTTCTCCCCAAGCGAGCTCGATGGGCCGAATGGCCTCCTCTCGTTTGTATAGTTCTTATGTTCTTATGTAGTCATACACCTTTTCCAAATCAAAAGACACATGCGACTGTGCTGATATATTCTCATGAACCCTCATATAGTCATGGGAGGGACATAAGGTAGACCATTGCTCTGTGGCCAGAATCCAGGCAGAATCTGTACTGTTCCTGGTGAATCTTCTGTTCAGTTATCAGGCAGAAACTCCTTTCCAGTACCTGGTAGACCTAGAAGTCCGATCTGCCTACTGTTGCAAGGTACCCTCTGGGTTACAAATGGAGACCACCTCCACTGTTTATCCAATTTAGAGCTACTTAATTTACCTTCCAAGCAACACTGAAGAGGTGTATCAATAATATCACTCTAACAATAATCAGTTCTACCATTGCAGCCTTTTCACCATTAAAACACCCTATCCTGCTTCAGCTTGTACTGAAATATTTGCCAGGGTCTGTATTCACAAAGCATCTTAAGGCTAAAAGTAGTTTCTAACTTGCCAATTTAGGAGAAACTCCTAAAAATGATGGGCGCGTCAGTCCTAAATGTAGGACTCCTCATTTTTTGGACTAAGAGCAATTCACAAAGCCCCTTAGCGCCAAAAGTAGCACCTAAGTCTGGTAGAACTAAAACGTAGTTGAGAGGACTCCGGAATCAATAAGACCGATTCACAAACAGTTGCAAAATGGCTGCTGTCAATCCATGTACCATTGTCTTGGAAACATTAAACGAACACTGAATTACTTAAAGGACACCGCCTCAGTCGGGAGGGAATAAAGATTGTTGTGGCGCGTGTGAGGAATGCAATAACAACTTCAACAAACCGAAAAAACCCAGTCACACTCACCGGAAACTGTTTATAGTGATCATTATAGTCGATTTTTTTCTTTTTTCCTTTTTCGTTATATCAGATTGCCATCTAATTGACATTTGTATATTTATTACATGAATATATAATAAAAAGGACAGCATCGCTATTTACTTCATTTTATTGACTTGTTCAAAATGCAGTACAGCGGTTTCAAGTGCTTTTCAAATTACAGTACTGGGTATAAGTACGTAAGAAATTTACAAACGAGAGGAGGCCATTCGGCCCATGAAGCTCATTTGGGGACAACTTAACTAATAGCTCAGAGTTATCCCTCAGAATGTTATTTGAATCCAGGTAATCTACCATTTTCACTTGGATTATAGCTTCCATTACTTTCCCAGTTACGCAAGTTAAACTGATTGGCCTATATTTTGCTGGATTACTTCTATCCCCTTTTTTGAATATGGGCATTATATTAGCATGCTACCAATCTGAAGGTACCACACCAGCAGATAATTCAAATACGCTATAATACAGTACTGTGCACTAAATATTCTTTATTGTAGTTTTGCTGCTGCATCTCAGTGGCTCGGTTTTGGTAGCTTATCGTAAGCTGTGAAGAGTCTATATTTGTTATTGAGAGATAATGACTTTCTTTTTCCTGTCATGTTTTCTATGCATGCAGCATTAGCCTCAGGTAGCCAGAAGCAGACAAGCTACCACAAGGCAACGTATGGCGATCAAAATAAAGTTTAAAATGACCAAAAATGAACACGGTAAGCAGACTACTTGATTACTATAAGCAAATTAACCCGTATTTGTACAGGAATCATTCTGTCCCAAGCTTTTTGATCCATATATGTGGTTGATCACTATAACCATGATCACCATAAGCAGTTTCCACTGTATTGGTGTTTATGGGATGTTGTGCGTACATTTTCACCAGCACAAACTGGCCTCTCATCCACCAATCCCCGTGGTTATTGCAGGCAGCTCGTGCATGAGAACTGACATCAGCCAAAGCGACAGTCTCACTCTTGGCTTAGGCGTTGGCTCTTTCCTAACTAAAATTTGCTCTCAGCCACGTTGTGAATGGTTTTAGGGAAAAACTCTTAGTTAAAAACTTTTAGTGCGATTTAGACATACTCTTAGTGGTAAGATAAAATTCTTTGTGAATAGGGGCCCAGGTTTACATCACTGCATCCCAAACAGGCATGTAGCCAGGGCATAAAATTACGGGTCTGAATCCCCCTCGAAATTTGTTTGTTCCTGACCAGCCACGTGGCCAGGAGTGAACCTCACATGTTACTAAAGCCATTGTTTATTTGTTTTACACACTGTATTTCAATGGTACACTTTTAACTTATTGATATCAATATATATGATACATTGATAGCATGACTGTTAAATTATATACATGTGCTCTGCTAACATTTTAAATCCCATTCTTTGTTATAGAATGACAAATAATAACATTGTTTGTATATGCTAATCTCGAGTGAAATTGCTCGTTCAGTCGTTAGATGTTTTCTGTAAGGTTGCATGTGGTGAACAGAGCAGGTTCAATATAAGCCTTGGTCTGTCCTCATTGTTTCTGCAACATCCCCATCTGCTGGAAGGTCGTACAACTACAGCAAATTACTTTAATGCTCAATCCTTCAAATAATCAATATTCTAGTATTAATGAGACCATGCGTTGGGTGTTGAGCTTAAGTTACATCCGTATCATGGGGCTCAGTGCACTTATAAACCTGAGTGTTAGTGTTCCCCCGATTTAGGGATATCAGCCTTTGGGCGGCTGAGTTCCTACTCCTTTCCGGTAGCTTCAAGTAATTTTTAGTAGTTTCAAAGCAAATCTGTGCTGCAGTTTTTACACCCTCTGCCAAGGGAACATGTCCAATGCCATGCAAATTGGGATTAAAATTATTTGTAATGTACATGTACTAAATGTTGTTTGTGTAATTTCGCTTTGATCTATAGCAAAGGTGAATTATATGTGCGCGAGAACACGAGAATGGTGAAGTACGCGTATTGAGGAACAGCCCTGCACAAACTATGGCTGGACCTGAGCACTCACCATGCTGAAGTTGTGGAAGAGCCTGAGGCTGGGACTGGGTGGCGGGGCTTCCATGGGGATCTGCAGGAAGGGCTTTATCTCCACATGGGGCTGGATGACAGTGGGGGTCTGCAGCAATGCTGGGATGGAGCCTGCATGGTTAATACTACCTGCACAGAGTGAAGACGGCACAGAGCAGGAGTAAGAGTGCAACACTACCAATAATCATTGATCTTTTATCAGTTCATTTTTATTTATCAACCGTTTTAACATGACTGCACCTAAGAGTTTGAAGATCTAACAAGGTAGGTGTAGATGTAATTAGTAAATATTCAAAAAATGTGAACTTTGTTCAAATCCACAGTGAAGTCACTTGAATGGACCCATATGACTGATCATCCAAATCCCCTGAGCTTTCAGTTCGCACAGAGCATAAACCTCTTACTCATCATCAGCAGGCTTCCAAACATATTTTCTCAGTAGTAATTTCTCAGAGACACTAAATTAATTCTCCAGCCCCCCCACATCCATCCATGCCTTTTTCTCAGCTTCTTCCTTTTGCTTCAGCATCCTCTCTCAGGCCTGGTATGTTCCTAGTAATACACTGGTTAGGCCTGCCTTCTGCGATTCGGCTGTGGTGAGCAGCGGGGCTAAGCTGCTTACGTCACGTTCTGCAAAGTCCAGATCTGCGGTTCTTCCTCGTCTTGTCACTTTACCTTTTCCTCGTTGCTCGCGGCTTCCTCTTCTCCACTGCGTTTTCTGCTTCTGTCTGAGGACCAGCCTCCTATCAAAGGTCTATAGTGAGGTGTGTTATGTGATGCTTTTGATCTTGATGCTGGGGCAGCAGTTAGTGTAATTAAGACTCGAGCACCAGTCAGGACTGTACTGCAGTACTCTGTTACGAGGAGCTTGACCTTAATTGTTCCAGTAAAATAGTGTGTTAGGTGACTGTTGCTGATTGAGCCCTAGGATAGGAAGCTCTCCTTGCCTGCATAGGTCTCTGTAAGCCAATGGCGAGAGCTCACTAAGCAGCTGGTGGAGATTCAGCCACCTGGTTGGGCCTCACGGCTACATGCTTGCAGTGTAGCATCTCCATCGCCACCCAGTGGCAGGTATGAGCTTCTACAAGCAGCTGAGGAGTTGCCATGTGTGTGTAACCCCTGACCGGGTAAGGACTGAAAGGCAGCCATTAAAAGTCAAAAATGATATAGAAAGGCTATAAATTCCCCAAATTCCCCGAAGAGATGGCCGGAGGGGATGTACATTCCCTTAAGCAAGTTATAATTTGCTGCAGTCAACAAATATGCTCTCGTGGTTTTAAAGTTGTGCGTTTCAGTTCTGTGATTGAGAAATGTAAAGATATGAACAAATATTCAAGATTTAACGTCTTCTGCATTATCAGTACAATGTTAATAAAATGAAAGTTTTTTAAAAGAGATGTGAATCCTTTCCTCCAGATTAGCTTTTGTTTTTGAACACTGTTTGCAGGGACTGACTTAGCGCAGGGCAGGTTAGTGTAAGGTGTTAGAGCTTAAGCTGGGGGGGCTTGTTCTCTGAAAAAAACACGGCCTGTGCTTCGCCTTCACAGCCAGTGGGTGTAAATCTGTTTCCTGCCCTTGGCCTGTAGTTACTCCACTAAATTATAACACATGTTGGGCGCTGCCTTACACTGTAAATCAACCTGCCAGAGTCTGTGGTGCATGCCTGCACATTTTTTTCTTTGAATTTTGTTGGCCTACTTCTAAGACATATTTCAGAAAAAAAACTGTAAAAATTGCCAACACACTTGGACAGACATCACAGTTTTACACTAACATGAAGATCATTTAAACACCATTTCTTTGACTGAGACTTTTGCATGATACTGTATATTAGATATGTTGAGTGTCTGAGTTTGGCCGTAGTTAAATTTGCAAAGAATTGCTGTCTCACACAATAAGAGCTTGACTGATCGGACTCATACTGCTGTTTCAAGTCTGGCACCACAGTCTCATTCACACAAATATCCACAAAGTTACAAACATCACTCTCACACACAGAGTTACAATCAAATCAGCAGATGAAGATGTTTCTTTTGTAATTACATCAGCAAGGTCACTCGGGGGTTTGTGGGAACATTCATTCATTAGTTTCCAAATCATAACAAAAATTTGGGAAAATATTACAGGACACAGGGAAGTATAAAAATAAAATAAAAGCAGAAAAGATGATGTCGGAAAGACAACAATGTATTCCCTGGACAGCCCATCACCACCGCGACACCATCTAATCCAAAAACCCCCCCCCCCCATCTAACCCCTACTCCCCCCAAACTCCGCCTCCAACCCACACAGTGTATGTAATCACTGGATGGATCACCTGGAAATGTGAACGCCAGTAAATGTGTTTTCACCTTAATGCTCTGAGTCACATTCCTCTGAAACTACACCTATTCATTTATTAAATCTTTACCAACCATTTAGGTGGTTAGTTGTATTTCTATGTGTAGGTCTCAATGTCCATGTCTTAAAATCACTAACTTGTACAATGTTACTGGTAGGTTTGAATATATATAACTAGTTGTTTTTGAACATACAGGCATGCATAGGACTGTCAATGAAAATCCCAGTGCCATAACACAGCACTGCTAATTGCTACTGTTAGCATATGACTGGTATTTTATCGGTTCATAAGACAACATGGTTCTTCACAGCAGAGTCCGACACATGGACAAAAGCCCATTATGAGCAGCAGGTCAGAAACACCTTCACAAAACCCCCAGGCCTCTGGTTTGCAATCCTCTTTGACAGCATGACAACACGCCTCTTCATCTTCCGTTTCACTTTAATGCAAATGTTTGGTGACAAAGAGATCAATGGCAATTTAACTTTTCGGATTGTCCAAGAGGCAGCAGGAGGGGAAATGAAGAGCCTTATTGTGATCTACCTTTCCCAGTAAGATTACCTTGCACGACCCAGTATACATTTTTACTCAGGCGGCTGCAGTACTGTACCTATCCTGTGGCTGAGTCAGTGGTTAGTTGCAAATTGCTTGTTGTTTTATAATATAATACTGGGAGAAAAGGTAAATCAGGAGTACCTGAGATCCAAAACTATACTTTGAAGAAGGTCCTGTGTCCTGGGCTGTGCAGAATGCAAAGCACACCTGGCTACAGGTACTGTTTAGCTCAAGCTCACAGAGTACACCTGAAATTTGTTTTGGATTGAGGCTTACATTCACACCACAAATAAACCGCTCTAGAGTTCTTTTGCGACCGGACCGAGACCACCTCCTCTCAAGAGCCTTGGTACGGTTCTTTGGTCTGAATCTGAGTGCGATTACTGTGTTCACAACGGCACAAACAAATCACAGCAAGGGGAAAATCGAACCAGAATCCATTTTAACTGGACTAAAAAGATAGTACAAGGAAAAGGATAAAGAGAATTCTCCACAAGAGGGTGCTGCTGGGGTTAATATAGGTCATCCCTTGAGTTCAAAGTTTTTGAATGTTCAGTAGCTCCAACCTCAACTTTGTTACTCTTTTGCTAGGGAGTGGCTTAAGTAAGTCAAAGCTTCTTTTCCTTTAATCCAGCTTCATTTCGCTCTAACAAGGTGTGACATGTGCTTGCAGAAATTGCTAAACTAGGTAGCTGCGAGGCATGCATGCGCGTGTGTGGGTGCCTGCATGTGTGGGGGAGCTTCAAGTACGTGCATGTAAGACAATGCACAGATCAAAAGCTGCATCATCTTTGCCACATACTGCATCAACCCCAAAACTGTAAAGTGGCAAAGTAGAAAGTTCTGGAGCTGGGGTAGACAATTAGTTACTTCTTCGTGGCCGAAACGGCAGTTGAATTGATCAGTAAGACTTTAACTGGCCTGTGAACTGAAATGAGACAGAAATCTGCCTTCCACGAACATCTCGAAGGCTTCCACCCTATAAATACGCCTATTTTGGACAGCAATAATCATATGGTGTTAATTTTATGTTCTTATCCTCATTCCAAAGCAACCCACAAAGAATTTCAACAATTGATGATGCACAATGATAATTTCAAACGTGCACAAAACTACAAGGTTTTTCTTCCAAATGTATGAACTTAATATTAAAGAACAAAAAAGTTTTTTTATTATTATTGCTAACTTAAATATAATGATCAATAATTCTGTCTCCTTGGTATTAAGCATTTTTTCACTGAAATACAAAGCTGCATTAATTAACTTGTTTACTGTCCCGTTTCTTCTTCCGACAGAAAGCAATAAACATGTTTTACTCTGAGATCATTTGAAATATATACTGAAGTTCCCTGCTGTTCTGTTCAAGCCCAAGTCTTAACGGGAAGACAGAAGTCGTCAGGAGCACCTAGAGCTCTGTTGTCCTGCCAGAATACCAGGTGTTAAAGTTTGATAGGGGAGCCAGCTGCATGTGTGCATGTGAGGCACATGAAGTGCGGACTGGCAGGGGGCAGGGGGCAGATTTAGGGCTCAGACGAGGTGGAAGGAAGCTGGTTAGATGAGAGTCTCGCTATGAATCATGTCAGCAGACGCTTATCTTTACGTAGACTCTGAGGTGAATAGTTCAGGTCCAGAAAGTAAAACTCCAGACCAAGATTTTGTTTCTACCAACTGGTTGAGTATAAAGAGTCATGGTCAACCACTGGAGCTATGTACAGGGATTGCAGTGCACTTTCTCAAGCTGGAGCTATGTACTGGGATTGCAGTGCACTTTCTCAACCTGGAGCTACAGTATGTACTGGGATTGCAGTGCACTTTCTCAACCTGGAGCTATGTACTGGGATTGCAGTGCAGAGATACTTGCTCAGAAAATGCACAACAATTCTGGCTGAGTGCCCAGACATTAACACTTCTCAACACCGAAGCACATTACCAGGAAATCAATGTCCATTCATGTGAACAACTTTCAGTCCAAAGATGGCCTGTTATTAGTTGCTGTAGACTTGTCTTTGTTTCTCTCCCTTCTTCCCACCTTCTCACATTCCCTTTTTTTCACCATGTATTTGTCAGTAAGCCTCACCCGCCCTGCAGCCAGCTTGGCTGTAAAACAATACGCTCCCGTTTATTGGCGGTCTGTTAGAATGTAACCCGCTGCAGGCCACGTCCTGCACTGGATACGTGACGCTTTGTGCATTTTGCTCTTCTATGAAAGAAGACCCCATATTTACATAAAACG